AAACGTGTCCTTTCAAATCTAAAATCATTTTCAATGGGCTGAATAACACTGGAGGCCAGCTCTTGTCACCAGAAGAAAACAATGAGCACACACTCCACAGTTCTTCCTTGACTTGACTCGGGGGAAGTTGAAGTCGTTGTCACATTTGACCTTGCACAATAAAGACAAAGAGTTGTTTCGTGCAGAGGGAAAACTATATGACTGCTGTGAGGAACAGTTAAAAATCATCACTCCTAATCTTCTCATAGATCACTAACATCCTCTTATGCAATTGTCTCCTCACTAAAATGAGACACATACTGTGTACGAGTACAAAGGACGACACATTGTGGAAAATTTGATGGAGGTGTCTCATTTCTGATTCAATTTTCACAGCTGGATCTGGAAAATACATACATACAGTGAATGCAAAACAGCAGGAGAGAAATTTTTTTTACAATAAAGATAGCAAAGATCGATTTGATCTGAATTCTATCATCTTGAAACATAACATAGTATGACCATCATTTTCCTGAAACTAAAGTGTTTAATTTGAAGCTGTGAATGGCACAATGGAAGATGATTTGCAGCCACACCAACACAAGTAGACCGCACTTTTCTACCCAGTGCACATCTTTAAATTTAAATATCCGTCTTGACACCATATATAATGGCTAAAAATACCTGAAAGACTAAATCCACAGGTTTGCATAATATCCCCCCCACCGTCCCACTTTAGGTACCGGTTCACCTTGAGAAGTCCAGAACGCAATGTCAACACAAGCACTTTGTAGATTGGTGATTGTTTGTCTCCTTTGGTCCTGCTGGGACTTTGGGGGGAGGTCACCAAATTGTCTCTGGAATAAAAAAAAAGGTGCTGACCTTCTTCTAAATTGACCACATTCAGTGGACAGGGGAGTATCAGGTTATTGAGTTGATCCATGCTGTGTTTCCTTACCTGGGGAAAATGATCTGTGCTATTGTTTGCCTTCTGCAGTTGATCAAGGGCAAGACTGTCAGGAATGTAGAAACACCAGACATTTCTGTATGTATTTTCAAATGTCCTAATGATTTAAGAGAAAAGGGGGAAAAAAACACATTAGTACCCCGCTGTAAACAAAATAAAATGCCTTTCCCTTATGAAGAGACTTGCTGTTTATAGCTGAGGGAAATTAAAGGCTTTATTCTCTACATTCTGTGAGATGTTTCACAGGAAAGACATATTGTAAATGAATGCAGCTGCAGATCCCCAACAATTCATTGCACTGTACTTTCAAGTTGTTGATTCCTTGAGAAAGGCAAATAATAGTCATTTTGCAAAATTGCAGGCCTTTCCTTCAACAACTGGGGAAAACAGTTAAAATTGGGCAGGGAAAGGGAAGAAGCAGCCCTCTCACTGAAGTAGTTGGTATATTTGGGACAGTATAATGAAATAAGTCATTTCTGCCAGCAGTTCACATTACCTCCCAATGGTTAAGAACCATAATCCCAATAGCATTTTGAATTCTATCACACATACAGCTGGAAATGCTATTGCATGATTACAGTGTTCCTCTCCTTCCACATACAGTAGTTCTTGTATTTATGTATTCTGATCATCGATCGGACGAGATGATGAGTGCCATGTACAATTACATTGCTATTCAGACTTAGCTACAGTAGATGAACCAACACTATCTGGCACAATAAAATCATACAGACAACTAGTAGTGTTTGAAACGATACCTGTCTGTTACAAAAACACAGTACAGTTTTCACACAATTGAAATAGCTTTGCTTTTACGTTCCAAAACAGGACTCGAGTGGAGAGTCGCCTCTTTCGCAAGATTTGCTCCACATAATGTTCAAACCACATCGTTACCGATGAGGAACTTAAGTGTGTGCTGCATCGGAGTTGCTTTTAATTTAATAACTATATACTGAAGATCCCTCTCCAGATTCATTAACTGGGCCGGTGGCAGCTCTGCCCATTCTTCTGTTCTAAGGTAATGTTGACATAAACATGTGGCCTCCACTCCAGGTGGTCAGTTAAAATGGCAGTGTGGACAATGTCATGCTCAGCAGCAATGCAATCTCTCCTCCTCCTTTAAGCTGTTGAGGAGGATCGTCCACTGATGGCAGATTTTATCTGCAACAGCCAGAAGGCCATGCGTCTTCCTGTTGCAAGGCAATGGCACCTTGTCACGCAAGACAACGTTATCCTGACTCTGACACCTAACATTTCCAATTTTGGATTATTTGTATTATAAAATCTTAAGGCACGCCGTACATGGGTTCTGGACAAAAAATAAATTTAAAAATGCCACACCTAAAGATATTTCAAGGTAATGCACAAGTGGAAAAGCCAGGAATCTCCATGCAGATTGTCCCAGAGGTCTGTGAATCATAGATTTCATTCCTGCAGGGGAGCAAAGATTATTACAATATTCAGATTACCGAGCAGGGGAAATTAATTGGACTAATTAACATACAAGTAAATGATGATACCGTTAACACATTTCATTAACTCAAACTGTCATTCTGTGTTCCTGGTGCACTTTGTATTGCATTACAATGAATTGGATTCATTAAATTATGCAAATGAAAGGAATGACAAAATGGACGAGTCCTTTTTAATGTTATATGCCACAATTTCTGACTCATTTTCAACAAATTGACTAAGACTCAAAAACCATGTGCTTACTAGATTCATAAACTACCTGCTAATTATGTTCACAGGCACTAAAACCAGGTAGGCTATAATACATTCTAACTCCCTCATGGCATTGTCTTGACCCTCGTATTAAATAAAAAAAAAAAGGCAACTGTACCTATTTAGTAAAATGTCCCATTGAAAAGGTAAGGATCGTGACACAGCGTGTGTGTGCTGCAGTAAGAAGGCAGTGCTGTTGGGGAGGTTACTTTTGAAATGTAGGTTACAAATTTCTAATTACCATGTTAAAAATGTAATAAGTAATGTAACTATTTTAATTACTTCATCACAGTTATGCAGCTTATTACATCTGATTACTTTGGTTACAAATGTTTCAAACTGGGCAATAAAGCTGAAAAGTCCTGACAGTGTAAAGCTCACAACAGTACTACACAAGGTTCTTCATAACTTCAGTTACATAATATTTTACTGCTGAAACATGCAGATTACTGAATGAGCACCAAGCAAGACCCTTTTCTGATTACAGAAGGAAAATACAGTTGAATTTCCAGCACTGAAAACTGTTTCTGTTCAACATGACCATCCGCCTTAGCATTGTCGGCTGGTAGGATCAGGGTGCTTAAAGCAGCGTGCCATGATTTGACTGAGAGTCAAACAAGAGAACCAATCAAAAGCAATATTCAAAATATAATATATGCTGCCAGAATGACTGGAGCCTATCTAGGTGTAGACAGAGCTGCTTGAGAGCCATCCTACCCTTGATGGTGTTGCATTAAATTTGCCCCAGTGGTTTTGCTGACCTGTGCTGTCTGGAAATCTGCCACAAGAAGTCGCTCTGCAAGGCAAAACGATGCAAAGCAACAGAATGAATGTCACATAAGCATAGAAGCTTTATACCTGGAAGAATGTATTCAGAAGTAACCCATTTGTAATCACCTACATTTTGATTAGCCATTTACTTACATATTTTTCTTACTGACTATAACTGATTACATTTATTCTGTAATTCAGTAAATCGTTACATGTAACTAGCTACTCCACAGTTTTGTCTACAAAGCAGAGCAACTTATTTAACAATTTGTTTTACATTTTACTGATAATACAAAATGTATTAATCCAGGACATAAAACCAGAAGCTGTCACCACTAATGCCTCTGTAGGATTTGTTCAAAGTCATAAAGCAGTAGCAGAATATGCTTATGATATTTCTGTGAGACATTAACTTACAGCTGAGGGTGAAGACCTCCTGCTAGCCTCGGTGACTTCTGTCTTCACCATAGCAGCATTACATGGAGAAGGGTGAGGGGTCAAACGTAACGTTCGTACCGCTCCCTTGTCTGAAGTGACATCTATCGGACTGCTAGCCCAGAGCGAAAGCCTTCTTGGGGGAGAATGAAGCTCCTGGCTGGATGTTCACAAGGAGAAACAAAAGTATCAAGAACATGGAAAATTTCAAACTTCTCCTGCATTTAGTAATTTTAGTTTGAAATCTCCAGCTGCCCTCAGAAAGCAGATGTGGTATAACCAAGATCCCTTAAAAAAGAATTTCAAAATAAAGCAAAAATCAAGTGAAACAAAGAGTGACTGATGACACCTTCAGTGTTTAGCAGATTTGACTTATAGGCTGAAGCATAATGTCCCAAAGAGGACTACATGTCCATGAGTGGAAAATTAATTTTCATTATGTGTCACACAAAGGGGAGTCAAATATGCCACCAGTACATTCACTATACAGTGTGTATGTGTATTCAATTTAATAGCTGTAACAGTTGAGAGATTGGGGGTCAAAAATAAAATAGAAACAAATCATTTACATATAAGAGGGAACTGCAACATACAGAAAAATGTAAAGCATCAACACAAAGACTGAAAGATTGTACATTTAGTGAGAATGAGTATAAAGCAGGTTCTTGGGAAATATACAAAAGATTTCTATACAAAAGGAGTAACAGCAAGATGAAAGCGAGGAGAACAGTGTTGAGGTTTCAACTGCGCGATGGTACTGATGGAGGAAGATACAAGAGCAAAGCTCTTTCCATAACATGTACAGAGGGTATGGTTATCATAAAAAAATGACATAAGATTCAACAAGCTTAGGTAACATGGTGACAGCTTAATTCATCTCAGCTTTTGGTCCATCAAAAAACATTTCATCACAAGGCCGCACCATGACCCGAGAAGCTACAAGGGTGATTGACTTTACTCATATCACACAGTCACAAGTCATCCTGAGTTTGTAGTCAAATTTGGCAATTACCTTCCCCTCAAAAATGGCTTTTTTTCTCTTCATATTACAATGCATGTTTTTTGTGTCCTCCAAAAAAGGTTTTACAAAAACACATTTAATTACATATAATGGAGCCATGTGAAATATTTAGGACTTTTAATATCACAAATGCATTTTCTATGTAAAGCCTGATATAAATAGCAGTTCAGTCAATATATTTATTAAGTAAATAACATGTATCATATCAACAATTTGTTCAAGAGGAATTACAGTACAAAATTTTGATTGTTTTTCATTTTTACCTGCAAAATGTAATAGGTGCGACCAGTTTCATTTAAGGGGAAAAAATAAAGGAAGGAGGGCTTGCTAATCTGCAAGCAGACTTAGTACATGAACGGTGAGAAAAAAGATGTATAATTAAAAAAATTCACCTTACATGAATACATTTGCATGAGCAGAAGCAATATCACGACTTCAGCTGGATAGAATGATCTGTTTGAGGGGAATATGGAACAAACCGTGCTTAACAAAGACATTATCAGAATATCCCATCAACAAAAGGCGGTTACTCAATCTACCAATAATTTTTCATGAAAAAACACATCATTAACAAGTAAGTAGATTCAAAACAAAGTGGCATCCTACATTTCCAACTACACAGTATCGTACAAAATAAGGCATTTCCTTGTGTGTTTACTGCAGTGTCTTTTTCAACCTTTATCTTCTTTTAGTCTCCAATGTGAGTTTCTCCTCAGTAAAAACTATGGACATGGACTGACTATTTCTGTGTTAAAATATATATATAATTATATTTTTAAAATTTTAGTTTTAAATAAAAATACAGATAGGAGTATACAGTATGAGAGAAATTGTAGAAGTTCCTAAGTGGAGTACAAATCACTCCATGACTTCACTGGCTGCTACCGTGGTGACGAGCTGGAGAGGGATCTCTGCGTTGGCCAGGATGTCCTGGGCGTTGCTGGAGCCCTGCTGGATGTTGGTGAGGATGAGGGTGGTCCTGCCCGCTGTGGGATTGATACTGTCTGAGGACCCCGTGGATTCCATCGAGCTCACCACAGTGCTGCCAGAGTTCATGCCTTTTTTGTTCTGATGAGTTTTAATGTGCTTCGCCAGGTGGTCGCTCCGCATGAAGCGCTTGGAACATTCTGGGCAGACAAACTTCTTCTCTCCTGCCAGAGAGAAAATACAGTTTGAAAGATGAAGAGTTTGAGGCTGAATACATTTGGAGAGAATCAAACACGCCATCAATCTGGATGGTATTTTTCACAGGCGAGGAGCAGGTAAGTTTAAAAAAGTGGCACACAAGTTCTCTTTGCTTGTTTTATGAATAAAACTATAGACAACCAAGATGTAACAAAATAACAAACAGCAAAGAAATGGCAGCAGAGAAACGGTATTTCGATTTTCTGTATGTCGTGCACATATGGTGAATGGACAATAAAATCCTTGAACCTTGAAAGTGTCACTGCAATTTAAATAAAAAGATTTTTGTGTTGTTAGTAAATGCTCTATGACCTACAACCACCAAGTTAAATCACTGCATTACCTGATGAATGCCAACCTGTCACTCACTAAAACATCAAATGGAAGACAAACTGCCACTATGTGATTGATTACAATCATCTCCAATTAGAACCCTAGAATTATTTAATATCCACTTGCAAAATAAGCTGCACATGCTAATTGTTCATATGTTGCAGCTGAGGCCGTAACAACATGCTACTTCAGCCAGCTCTGTCAGAGGTCTCTCAGCCAATGAGATAGTAGGGAACATGCCAACATCACAACCAAGTCATCATACCTCTTTCGTTCTATCCTGGCATTAGATGTCATCAGATGCTGTGTATAATTATTATGTGTGCTGGAACATTTCACTGGATTTATCTTAGGCTACCACTTCTGTTCATCTGTGTATTTCACCCCGTGCTAAATTACTCTAAGCATACGGGAATAGCTAATAAATCTCATAAAGTGAGCTGATAGAAAGGCGTCCAAACGCAACCATGGAACAAAAATAAAAACGAAAGCTTAACTATAGAAGGCTATAGCTCATTACTGGCATCTCTTACAGTGTTTCTGTTACACTGTACAATCCATGTTAACAAATCCTGCAAAGTAGACTGCAAATGAGTTTAAACCCCATTTAAACTGGAAAATTACCACAAAATCCATGAAATCTGGATGGGTTTTCACCACAGTCTTCAATCCTAACCTGACATTTAACATGTAAATCCAGTGGGGGACTAATGCTGTTATTTTTTTTTTTTTCTCTTCACGACTCGCACCTTTACGGGCACAAAATAACACATTTAACTGATTTTACTCCTGTTTTCCTGATGTGCAAAAATGGAAAGAGCAAAAAAAAAAAAAAAAAGGGCACCTGTGTGTGTTCTCCTGTGTCTCTGCAGCTCGTCACTGCGTGTGAACTTCTTCCCACAGAACACCCAGCTGCAAACAAAAGGTCGCTCCCCTGAATGCCAGCGCAGGTGTGCTCGCAGGTGTGATGTTTTTCCATATACTTTCCCACAGCCCGCAATGTGACAGATGTGCTGCTTCTTTTTCCCCATGCTGGATCCTCTGAGAAACACATGTATTGACAGTTAGGATCCTGATACGGTTTACTGCCCACACAGAGGTGAGAACAAGTTACTATGTACATATAGTGTTCTCAGAGGGAAAAGCACCAGCCAGGTTCACTCACCTCCCACCTGACTCTTTACAGTTGGGGCAGGTACATGCCACTCTGCGCAACCTCTTGCCCTCTTGGCCCATCTGATCCTCCTCATCCACTACCCTGACTCGAAGGTGGGACAGATCACTTGTGTTGAGGGTAGAGTCAGTGCCCAGCTGCCAGTCTCCAGAATCCGGCTCTTCCTTTATCTGAATGTCTGAAATGAACGTGTAAGTTAACGTCAACACACGCTCCGCTAATAAGCCTGAACAGTGAAAGGTGTTTTTTAACTGTGTGTGACTGACAGCATGACAGCAAATCTCACAAGTAAAGCTCCATAATAAGTGCAGTGATAAAATGACTGACAGAAAACGTATCAGTGACAATTCTGATAATTAATTAAAACATACCCTGTGGACTTTCTGGCCCATATGACTGGCAGAAAATGGATGGATGGACATTGTTACAATCCAAAACTTCATTACAATGTTTTGATAGCTATAATTACATTTAAAAAAAAAATCACCACAGAGTGGCTTTACAGATATACACAATGCATTTTGTTGAGACAATTTACTGTATATAATAAAGACAGACGATGTGAAAGCTCCCAGGAGTGGAGCCACTACAAGTCGATCGCCCCCTGGTGGCTGGTTGCAGTATATGTCATAAACCCTGAACCCATGTTAGTGCATGGACATGAGCCAAACTAAAAACTCAAGTCATTTGCGTGCAAGTGGTAATTTATCCTCATAAGATCATTTTTTAAATAAGTTATGTGAGAATACAGGAGGAGGAATATTTTGAATGACGTGACAGCTATGATTGGTGGCCTGACACCGCAGCTCCACCTCTGGTCACTATGTGCAAAATCTGGTGGCAAAATGCCTCATAAATGGAAGACAGCAGCCTCCATAATTGCAATATCTGGCTTAGAGCATGGATCAGGCCACATATTTCTGTCTGTAGCCGACCTCGTATGTATGGTGTTTTCCCCCTTATCACTAAATTATTATTATTAAATTAAAGTGCTGTAGCCTTCTAGCCTCAGGTTTGACCTATGTGTATGACCCAAACCCAAACATAATTTCTAAATTTCTGCCCGAGCCTGGCCCTAACCCTCAGGTATCGACTGTTCGGTCGGGCTCAATTTGGGTATCCACACTAAAATTTGGCTTCAATTCTGCATAGTGGCAGGAAGCAGTAATGCATTCTCCATCTTTATATAGAGTCTATGTACACTGTATTGTTGAAACATTAAATGTAAGAAAAGTATTTCTACGGTAAACACAAAGGATTATAACAGGTTTTTTTTTATATAATACCGTCCAACATACACTCATTTGGAAATTATTTTTCTGCACTAGGGAGTTTCTGTCAGGCATTGCTCACTGTGTCTCCTCCCTGCTTCAATCTGATCTGCTTCTGACAGCTCTGGTAAGGAAAATGAACAAACCTGGGAATACATGACAACATGAATGGGAGTGACCTGAGAACACCCTTTTTACTGGATTTCATAAATACACAGAGGTTTATGGAAACAATGTGTTATCTTCACTGATTCTTCACCCAGGCTTCTCCAAATTACAGTAAGTTTGTGCTATTTAATATTTTCTCATGGAACCGCAACGTCACTGTATTTGTCCCTTGTCTGCACTCTCCATATGTTAAACCAATGTTAAGTGTGTCACCATTCAGTGTCATTATAGGATTTTAACATAACTGATCACTAAATAATGATCACAGAGCAAATGTGTGGCACCACCTAAGAGATGGAAACCAGGGGATACTCAGTCAAAAATATTAACGGTTTTCTCCAAAACTGTGGAGACAAATGAAAATGAGGAAGAGGGGAGAGGTAGTGAAGTGCTAGAAGGGAGAGCGGTGAGAGGGACAGAAGGGGGGATGGCAAGCTATACAGGCTATGTGTCAAACGTATGTTGCAAGTGAACCAGCTGATAGAAGCAAACAGAACATCTGGCTGGGACCCAGAACTGGGGGAGAAAAATTAGGTGCAGCAATGAATCATGCACACTCTGCCCGTGATGAAAAAGAAGCAGTTAGTTTTCAATTGCTGGGCAGTTCAAATTGCAGCTTGCATCAACTTGATAGTTTATTATACTTTTATTATTTGATATATTTCATTATGTGGATTGTATCTTTTTATTTATTTTTCTTAGACTGTTATAACTGACAGATTGACAGTTATCTGTGTGCAATAATACATCTCATTAATACTCTCTTTGTATTACGTGACCTTTACATGGAAATTACCAACCAAAGGTCTGGTGTTGCACGACAAATAAATAACCAAACATTTTAGTGTGTGTGTGTGCAAAACCTCTTGACACTGTGCCTGAAAAATTTTCTGAGGGAAACACTGGGATGGCTCTGCTCTATTTAAGTGTATCAGTAAGCCGTCACAAACATTATTTCATTATTTAGAGTTGTGCTTTTCCCGCTGTGACAATTTAAAAAAGTTAAATTAACTAACAACAAAAATAACACTTACATCCATATAACAGTACAAGAGCCAAATATGTATAATGATGTCACTGTGAACCATACTTTGAACACTACAAACTAATTTCCATTCATCATCATTGAATTAGTCTTATAAATACAGCAACTGAGTACAAAATGGCATTTTAAAAGTAATTTACTCAAGACTGACCCTTTTGAAAGACACTAAAACATTAGTGGTAGAATTTTTTTTATGCAAGAAAATAAAAATTAAGTAGATTAGCACACAATTATGGCATGTAAAATGATCAATTAAAATGATTTTGACTGGGTCTGCCCAACCTCACAGGAGTTTAAATGATTAGTCCTCTGCTGAGGTTAAAAGTGGGAGGAGCTACACTAGAATTACATCAGATCACCCAAATCTGTGGCATAATACAAATAATAAAGGCCTAATTTGTTCCACTCACAAAAGGTACAACACAGCTGACATGAGTATCAGGGACGTGTCAATCAAGCACAGTCTGTTTACACCCACACAGCCACAAGAAGAGGTCTAATCAGCCAGAGTAATCACCTGTGTGGGTTTACCATGGTTGTGCAGGGTCTTTAAGAACAGGTTGTTTCCTGTATATATTCTGCTAAAACAAAGCTACTGTACCTCCAGGGATGTCTGTATCTCCCTCCTGCTGGGGCACTGAGTTGACTGTCACTGTCTGTAGGTTGGGGATCTGCCCTGTGCTGATGCTGACAGGATTGGAGCCCAGTGACAGGACTGGAGCCAGGGTTATCTGCTGGGGTGGTGAGGTGGGCAGCTGGAGGTTCTGCAGGTTCTGCACTCCCTGAACTTGAAAGGTCTGCCACTGTATCTGACCGGATGGTGTGACTGTCTGGGCTTGGATGATGAAGGTTCCTGGATTGATCAGATGCACGTTTTGCAGGCTCTGCCCGCCTGTCGCCACTGACTGAACTACTTGACCGTTTGTGGTCTGAACAGGCACCTGCTGCAGCTGGATTATGGGTTGAGCTGAGGACACCTGGATGCTCTGCTCCTGATTTTGTTGGATGAAGTGCTCTTGGAGACTGGAACTTGAGTCAGCTTGGTCTGGTGACACCGATGTGTCTTGCGTCAGCAGACCCGATTCATTTGCTGGAACGTGTAGCTGAGCGGAAGATGATGGCACAAAAATCTCAGGATTTGCATTCGAGTCATTTACTGATATTGTCTGTGAGAGGGGATCATCTGTTTTCACCTCACTCTCTGAGCCATCCATGGGCTGACCTGCCATAATCAGCTGGCCATCAGCAGTGACTCCTGTTGCTATAGTCTGAGCACCAGACAGGCCCAGGGAGTCCAAGTCCACACTGTTAATAGGAACAAAAGTAATGTTCCCAGGCAAACCCACAGGCACGTTAGTGACAACCTGACCCTGGTTGTTGAAGGTGGAGCTGCCAAGAGAAAGCCCCTGGATCTGCTGGATGTTACCAGTTTGCGATATGAGGTTCTGGTTGTTATTAATGATGTTTGCAGTTGATGTCACATTGAGACTCTGGCTGGCATCAGGCAAGATTTGAATCTGCCCTGTGGCATCCTGAGCCAGAGTTGTTCCCTCCAAGCCGGATGTGGAGAAGCTCAGCTGTCCATCCGCTGACTGAATATGAGGAATTACTTGGTACTGAATGTTAGGCACTGAATTGGCATTGGAGTTGTCTGCTCCCGATGTCACAAAGATTGGCTGAGTCTGTAAGTTCTGGAGAGGAAGAACATACTGTCCATTTGATGTTAATATTCCTTGACCTTGGATCTGTATCATTCCAGATTCATCCTTTGCAGCTGTGGTGGGGGTTAATACCTCCCATTTATCAGTCCCAGTTAGCTGTGTAGATGGATCTGATATCTGAGGAAGAAAATGATTAACATTAAAAAAAAAAGTTCAAGCATTTGTTTTTGATTAATTAAGCAATGTAAAGCATTTGCTCAGATGTCAGGTTTGGCTGCTTTTAGCTCAAAAATTGAGTGTGGACACCGCCAAATATTTTTAAGAAAAAAATGGTGCTAGCACTTCACACAATCAGCATCAGAAATATGAAAACTGAGCAAAATGAGCAAATTTCTTTCACATCACGTTGTACGTCGTTAGTGCTACACAAATAAGCTTATGCTATACCTAACTGTGCTCAAAGATTTAATTTATCTTCTGTGGTTATCTGAGGCACTGCTTGATTTGATCTACATACGATTTTGAATGATGAAATTCTTACCAGCCAAAATTAACCAGAGCAAATGGGCCAACAACAGTGTTAGCATCAACTGTGTCAAACAGCTGTAGTGTGAAAAAAGTCAGAAACAGACTTCACCTTTTTTTTTTTTTTTTTTTTTTTTTTTTTTTTTTTTTTTTTTTTTTTTTTTTTTTTTTTTTTTTTTTTTTTTTTTTTTTTTTTTTTTTTTTTAAACATTTTCTTCATTACAGCTGTGGTAATGGTGGCATAGCAAAAGTATAAACTTAACTCTACTACAGCTGCATTAAAGTGAGAGCATATGCAGTTCTCCTTGCATCTTAGGAGAGTTTTGGTCTCATTTGATGTTGAAGAAGAAACAGAAATATTCTGCAATACTATTCAATCAATTTCAATACATAGATTAAATGAGACCATTTGAAAATGAAACCAGAAGGTTCAAACCACAGCAGAACATTTATTTACTGTGGATTGTTTCTCCCACCAGAGCCTGATTGTCATCCAAGCTCATACTACAGAATAAAATACACCCAAACAACAATATAACACAGGCTGTTTTATATGCAATTTTCATTATTTTCAAAGCTTATCACTAGTGACATTCATGCAACTATAGCATATTAGCAAGAATATTTCATGTCAGAAAGTACAAGTATAAACAAATGTACATCCTAATACTGAAGAACATTTAGTCAACAAAAAAAGTAACTCATGAAACCCATACAGCTGCTGATGAACAATCGCATCAATAAGCACAGATAAAAACAAATCTAACAGAAACAGTCAAATGACACAGTTACCCACAACATACAGTATCTTGACTTGTTAAAAAGCTTCATTTACTCTTATGTAATTGTGGTTCATGGCTGATGTTGCTGTTCTATCAGAGTGCATAAAGGATGAAGCTTGATATACTGTATTTCAAGGAGTTGCCAGCTATGTCTGCATCTGCAAGCAGTCACACATAAGGTCACTGGTTCTAGCTCCAGTAAATGCAGTCTGATCACATAACCAGAAGAGTATGGGTGTCCTTACTGAGTCTGTTTCACTGATTAACCTAGTAAAAACATTCCAGTTGTAGCACTGAAATATCCTAATATATTAATGCATAAAAAGCGAGCAAGCCTAGCTGCAGTCCAGCCACCAATGTGACTCAGCTGTTCGCTTTTGCTTTATTTGTACTGGATCTAGTAGAAGTGCTGGCTTACCACATCAGCAGCAGCACCTCTGTCCACATCTGATGCTAGCAGGTTGCTAGCAGGTCAAGGGGTGATGGCCGAGTGTCTTATTCACAATGGGCGAGTTCAAAAGGAAGAAAGCTGGTGGCCATTAGTCTGGGCCCCATTTAAATTGTAACTAACTGCTAAAGAGCAAAGTCTGAAATTTGGTGGTTAAAGGACTTTCTTGTCATGTGTTGAGCCCCTCGGGCAGCACCTAAAGGAACACCCTGTTAATGTTTCAGTTTGGCTGGAGTTTAGTTTGTCACTTCAGTCATAGCAAAAGAGGCGGGATTCGTAAGCAGCCTGTAGAGGAAATGTTGCCTGAGAGTTTTAAATCAGAGTACAACACCCCCTCCACCTCCAGGTTTGAGCACCACTTACTGAAAACACAGAAACGACGTATAGCGAGAGTCATAATCCCAAGAGGGAAATCTTACCTGACTGCCCCTGCCTTCCTCTTGCTGCAGAAAGTCGCTACGATTGCTGTCCACGTCCAAGGCAGCCATATCTTCTGGTTTAATTGACTGTTCTGGGGCTGTGTAACAAAAAGAATATAACCTAGCTAGCTTATAATGTTGGAAAAGCCGAAGCTAACGTTAGCCAGACAAACCTGAGAGCCACATACAGGACTAACATCTGTCACGTCAGTAGACTAGCTAACAATAAAATAGCAACTGACAGTAACCTCACTAACCCCCGTGTAGAAAACAGCGGTTTAGCAATCATTAGCTAAAGGAAAGCCGACTAGCAATGTGTTTTAAATAAGATGACATAGCTAAGCTAACGAGCACAGCGATAGCTGCTATCGCTAACTTAGCCAGTGATGATTAGCAGTATCACAAACATCCCTGCTAGCCTGCTGGCGAGCTAATTTAGCCAGAGGATGCCTGGGATAGCTTGTTAGCTTACGTGGGTGAAGAATAAGATAGAAATTACATACCAGTCATTGCGTGAATTATTATGAAACGGCGAGTCTTGATAGTCACAAGCCACCGGACATGATCAGCAAACTATACTGGCTGTATTCGCGTAGAAATAGTTAATAACTATCAGAATTTTTTTGTATTTTGATTGACGGGCAGTAGGTAACACAAAGGGTGGGGCCTCTACTGTTGACTGGGAGTATTTGCGTCACATACCGGAAATCCCGCCGTTCTTCATAAAGGTGATTGGGTATTGGTATTGCACATCGTGTTATTATTTGTCAGTGAGCATGTCAGTCATCATTTCTTGGCGTCTTTTCCTGTTTATTATGATTTTTCAGTTTCAGAGTATTGGTGTTGATGGAAGTGAGGGTTGTGCATTGTTATTGTTACCAGTGAATGAAACCTGTGCAGTGAAGCAGACCATAGCCTTTGTATTGTGCAAAGAAGCAAGTGGAGCTTGTTTAGATAAGCTATAGCAAAAGAGGCACAGTTACATTATTTGCCAAATACATGGGATTCATCTTCAGCATTGAACCCATTGTAACTCAAGCTCAGGAGCACTGTGACTAACACCAGTTCTGAGACACAGTTCCCAATCTAATAAATGTCTTGTCAGCTGGTCGCATAATGACACTTGTCAACAAATACCATGTAGAATGTTTGACAGGCCCACCATGTACACTGCTTACCATAACTTTTATGCATCTTTATTTTTATTTAACCAATCAAAATCTCATTGAGTTAATACACTTTAAAATACACATTTGCAAGTATTGCAACACTTATCAATGAAATTTTGCACACAACTTCAAATGATCCTAAAATACTTAAGAATTACTGTACTGAGCAACAGCATTATCTGAGCAGCTGGTAAAACCTTTCTGGGGATGTGTATCTGTTGTGGTTTAAGGCAAAAACACAACACAAGGTGCTATAAATTCCAAACAGATAAATAATTTCATTTAATGCACCAATCTAACATTTTATCGCCTAACACTAATACCTCAGCTTCAGTTTGATGGTTTTCTTTTGTTCAAATTTAAAATCTCTGTACCTCTTTGCATAAAATTTATTGTGAACACTTTTACAGTATGTAAGGTACAAAAGACATGGGACTGCTGTGGCTTTAAGAACTGAGTTGGTGGCCAGCTGTGACTGAATGAATGTACCTAGTAGAGAAAACTGCCAATTTTATATTGACACTGACATTGAAACTTTATTTAATGTGGACTGCTGAGGTAATTGCCAATATTAATCCAATGGATTAGATCAGTGTATCCCTTTTTAAGTTTACAGATATACTCCATACTGACACATGAAAATCTGACTATGATATGCCTGAATTCTGCCGTGATGTGATTTGTCCTAACTCTTTCTGTTTTTGAAAACTAATAGTGGCATTGTGGTACTACAATCAAGACACAATCTGACTTTGCATTTGACTGGATTTCCTCCCCTCCGTCTGATTGTGCGCATTACAACATTGTGAAAGTGCATTGAAATGAGAGCCTGCATGCTATTGTACCTGTTCTGTGCCTGTGATGCTATCAGGACCCCACTTCTGAGTATTATTTGTGGTGTGTCAGCTCTTCACAGTACACGACCGCAGTGAGGCTATTTCTCCCAACCTTCAATTCAAACTTGGCCCATTACAGCCAGACTACAAAAGCACTTTCTGTGCACTCAGGAGCTCATGGCAGTGAATGGTGGATATTTCCAATCACTCTGCTGTCAATCCAAGTGTCAGGTAAACACAGGCCAATGGAAACAGCTTTAGAAAAACCTTGCAGCTATGTCTGTCTTGCTCCAGGTGTCCTTGGAAATGTATCAACAATTTCTACAAAGACCTCCAAGTTAAAGGGAAAACTCAAATATCCTAAAAGCAACACAAATGCAACTGAGTGGTGGATGTGGTGGCCTACAGGAGACACATAACTGCCATCATGGTATTTGTCTTTAGAGCTGTGAGTGTTGGCTGCAGTTTTAGCTGCAAACAAAGGAAATAAGATTATATTGACAGATGTCACCTCAGGAGACAAATTTGTGAAATTTGCGGAGCAATTACCCAGTGGGAGTTTCAGCACATCGCTAAGGATTCAATGTGATAAATATAACTGTAAATAGAGGCATCTATGACACTTTCACTGCATGGACACAAACCTTTTACCTTTCAGCTGTGGAGAAATATGTTACAGATTTTATGCTTTATTAACAAGTCCATATATGGATGAGAAATTGCAATCATCATTTTACCAGGGGTTTTCAACCAGTGGTCTGCGGACCCCTGGTGGTCCGTGAACACATGGCAGGTGGACCCTGGAATACATGGACCCATGTATTCAGTAATTTAGTTTTACTGAGGGCATCACTATTTTTAATCTCTATTTTTAAACACATTTTGATGTACTAATTATTGTTTTTCAGTAATCAAATTTCACAAATATAGAAAAGCCAAGGGGATTTTCAGGATTAAAACAGTGCTCATTCAGTCTAGTCATCCCACAGCTGTGGTCCTCAAGCTGCCTCTTAATCAGTGTGGTGGTCCCTGGGCCACAATCAGTTGAAAACCCCTGATCTTATTATTCATTACAAAGCCTCTTAGAATCTTCCAGGACTGGGCATTGTTATTGTGGCACAGTGCAGAAATGTGAAAGGTAAGAGGAGTAACTGAGTGAGTCCACAATGGCTCTGAGTGTTTTAGATTAACATATTGACAGTTGTTTTCGTGAAGGCTAGTCCAAGAGAGAGTGACCCCATGAAGAGAAACTGCCCTGCTGGAGGCACCTTGTGGGACAGTAAATGAAACCTAAGAGAGAAAATTGGAACTAGTGCAGGATGGAGACGCGTGTATAGAATATCAAATGTGCGTTCTGGACAACTCTGAGGCACTGAGACAGGAAAATCATACAGGTTTAGCCTAAGGTACAGAGAGTTTACTGCTGTGTCAACATCAAAAGCAGTTGCATGAATTTTTTAAATGGTATTTTTACTGTGAAAGTTCAACATCTCCTTAACATGGAGTATACGGTTGCATTGAGGCCAGCACATTCAAGGATTTTGACTCAGGTTGTCAGTACTGTAGCTCTCAACATACCAATACAGACATTAAACTATAACAATAAAGAAAAATAATGCAGTTATGGTTATTATATACAAATTAAATTTGCCATGTGTTGCGCTTTCTAGGTTACAGTATACAGCCATACTGGACTAATTAGTCAAAGTAAGAATGGATACTGTTATGCTTTTTATCACATGCACAGTATAAAGAGTAAAATGTTTGAGTATAACAAGGTCATTGCATATGAGGTGTTTTTGGACTCCACATGGCTGATTAACTATGATCCATGTAGAATGAAACATTTAGAAACATTTCAATGCTTAAATCATTTGTTTCATTGAAAAAAGTCACAAAAAGTCATTTTATTTTAAAGCAACTAGACAGAGTGCACAAACCTCACCCAAGGCAGCTCACTGTCCCCATAACGCCATTACACCTAAAAGCATTATTCCCATGATAGTTGGACCCCCATAATATGATTCACTGACCATGAAAACCTACCTCCAGCAACTGGAATCATATTGATATCATTATTAGTTTGAAAATTATGTTTAAAAAGTATTTCACTAATGGCAATTTTCTTCAGGACCAAGTTCAATAATTTATGAAGATATGTCAAATCTGTTGACCCTTTATTGAATCAGCAGAGCTTCGCCTAGAATTTGATGTTAGTGGCAAGTCTGTCGCATTACCTGTTGTCTCACAGTGGCAAGTTTTCTGTGAACTGAGTCATTTTGAACATTGTGGATCAGCAGATCCAGAATATTACTTGGATCCAGGTTACACTGTGGTCTGTGGTAGCTCTTATGTGGATGTTACCTTGAAATGTTTTCCAAGCATTACTGTATGTGTGAAGTTAGAAGCAATAATAATGAAATTATCTCACAATGGTGAAGAATCCTAAAAAAAATCCTGGATGTGGATGATGAGCTGAATCAGCATTAAACTAAAAATCTAATGGAGTGTTCCATGGACCATACCCTACCTCTCCAAAAACATTTATCAAAATCCATTCATTACTTTTTGAGTTATGCTGTGAACAAACCAACAAACAACAAATGCCAACAAAAACATTACATCTGCCTTGGTGGGGGTAAGAGCTAGTGTTGGGAAGGCTTTTTTTTAAATGAAAAAGGCTATACATTACAAGATACCTCATAAAATTATAATAAGTAATGTAACTGTTTTAATTCATCAAAGTAATGTAACTAGCTAGCACGCTCAGACAAAACAAGGATCATCAGCTGCTAAAGATGTGCAAAACTCACATATGTGATGTATGTAATGTAACATATTACTTTTGATTGCTTTTGGATTACCTTTCTAACAAATGTTTTAAACGGGGCAATAACACTGAAATATCAAAAAATATGCTGCCTACTGGACTGGCACCAAACAAAATATAGAGGCAAATTCCATCTTGAACACATAAATAACATAGTGGGGCAGGAGGTTCTTTGTCTTATGCGAGTGAGACTGTGTGGTTATGTTAACTTACTTAAATGTTCCCTCAGGTTTGACATGGAGCATTTTGATGCTGACAGCACTTTCACTGCTGATAAGCAAGCTTTACACTGTACTGTAATGTTAGAGCCCTTTCCTGATTTCAGAAGGAAAATGTTGAATTTCCACCAGTGAATGACATTTGTGTCTGATGACATGGCTACGGCATGCAATCAAAATTTGATCGCATACTGCCAAATGAAGGGTGTCTATCTAGAGAACAGAATATCCCAAA